GGGGGGGGGGGGAGAGGCATTGATTGGTTGCCTCCCATATGTGCCCCAACTGGGGATTGAACCCACAACCTAGGTATGTGCCCTGACTGGTAATCGAACCCCCAACCTTTTGTTGTATGGGACGATGCTCCATCCAACTGAGCCACCTGGCCAGGCTAATTTCAATTTTTGTTTTGAGCTTCTAGTTTTAGGCCTTTCCAGGGCCAAGAATGTTCAGCCCTTGGGGATCCCTGAAGAATGAGGGAAAATCTTCACTTGGTTCTACAAATAGTTTTCGAATGTCTGATCTACGATGGAACTTCATGGGGCACTAGACACACTGGGGATAAATTAATCCTGGATGCTTTCTTTAAGGATCTCCCAACCTGGTGGGCACATCAGCACTTACCTAAAGGGAGGTTCTGTCCAGAATGTTTTAGTTGTCTGGGCTAGAGAATGGCACATAGGAGGTGATGTGATTTGACTCCTTTTTTAAAATAAGGTGTGTGGGGGAGTTGATCCTACCAACGTTGCTACGCACTGACAAGCTTATCCAAGTTTCTGTGCGTGGGAAGGGACCTGCCTGAGGGCTTCCAGAGTGGACATCTGTCATGTGGTCAGCCTAGCACAACTTTTCTTTTGGGAACTGTCTCCTCCATCCACACGGCTACCCAGGGAACCATCGTTCTTACATAATCCTACCCTGAGCTATAATTGGCCCAGGTGTGTATACCTGTCCAGAGATGGGTCAATAAAATCCTTAATCATTGTTTTCTTATTTGAATTGAAAAACAAGTTATTTTCTTTTGAATGTTGAAAGCTATAAGTATAAAGTTCAGGAAATGTTTGCAGCCATGTTCCCTGTCATCAAGAGAAGGAAGGTTGTCTGCAATGAAAAAAAGATGAATAAGAAGTTGGGGCCAAAGATCGAGAGACTCATGTTAGAATTTAAAAGCCTGGTTCTAGTTATTCCTGAGACATCCTTATTTGAATTAGTTGTTCAGCCCTTTATTGGATTTTGTTATCCAATCGTCTTCATGTTTAATCTACCTCAAGTTGGATTTCCATCACTTCCAAACAAAGATATTTAAAAAAAAAATTGGTATAAGGTGTGTAGTGTTGCAAATGACAGACCCTAAAATATGGAACTGGCCCTGCTGATGCAGGGTGGGATGCAGTGAGAATCTCTCCATTCTGAGCCTGGCAATGAAATGTCCCTGTCAGGTGACAATGAAATAGGTGGGAATACTACTGCATGCTGCCTCTTAGAACTTGACCTCAACTTTCCTCCTTGCCCTGTGGTGGCAACTTCAGAGGATTCCCTTGAAAAATGGTAAAATATTGGAGTATACTGCCTACATTTGGCAACCTCAGGAAGGTGCTTCAAGGTGGGGGGGACAAGCAGATGAGGAGCAGCATGACAATTTGCTGCTACGGCTGGCGATCCGAGGATAATCACGTGCTTTGCAGATTGGCCATAGCCAAGTTCTCTGCCACATCCTAAAGTGAATGCATT